TGGATGTCTTAAGAAAATAATAGTTTTTTCTCCAAAAATATTTATGCATTTTTAGCTGAAGCTGTGCTCATATTTAATATATTAATAGTAAACACACTATAATTCATGCGAGAGTTATGGAGATTTAGACTAAAAATTCAAATTAATTTTGCATTTCGGGGTAACATTTGCTAAAAAGCTATTAAAACTATGTTTCTTAAGCGACAAATCATTATATGTTTTGATGATCCCGTAGTCACGTCAACAAAACGACTACATATGAGGACCCGAGAAAGGACTTGGAGGAAGAGCCCCCACCCCTCCCCCGGCAAATAGAGCTCATTAGGGATGAGAAGTTAAACTTCGGGTTCGTTGCCGGCAGTGAGAAGCCAGTGATCGTCCGTTTTGTCAAAGAAGGTCTGTCCGCATGAGATAATGAGATGAATTGGCAATGAATTCATGAGATAATAACCATTATATGTACACTAATAGGAGGCCCGAGTGAGCACTTACTCCAAGCCGGGGACCAAATACTCAAGATTAACGGCGAAGACGTGGTGAGAGCTCCTCGAGAGCATGTCTTGGATGTCTTAAGAAAATAATAGTTTTTTCTCCAAAAATATTTATGCATTTTTAGCTGAAGCTGTGCTCATATTTAATATATTAATAGTAAACACACTATAATTCATGCGAGAGTTATGGAGATTTAAACTAAAATTCAAATTAATTTTGCATTTCGGGGTAACATTTGCTAAAAGCTATTAAAACTATGTTTCTTAAGCGACAAATCATTATATGTTTTGATGATCCCGTAGTCACGTCAACAAAACGACTACATATGAGGACCCGAGAAAGGATCTGGAGGAAGAGCCGCCACCCCTTCCCCGGCAAATAGAGCTCATTAGGGATGAGAAGTTAAACTTCGGGTTCGTTGCCGGCAGTGAGAAGCCAGTGATCGTCCGTTTTGTCAAAGAAGGTCTGTCCGCATGAGATAATGACATGAATTGGCAATTAATTCATGAGATAATAACCATTATATGTACACTAATAGGAGGCCCGAGTGAGCACTTACTCCAAGCCGGGGACCAAATACTCAAGATTAACGGCGAAGACGTGGTGAGAGCTCCTCGAGAGCATGTCATTGAACTCGTCAAGTGAGTCCTTAATTCAGTCAAAAGTCTTATTATTATTGTTTTATTTTTATATTATTTAAATCTAAAGTTTCGACAATATTTTAATCCCTATTATCTTGTCGTTCAGGTCATGTAAACATAGCGTAACTCTGACTGTGTGTCAGCCCTACTCTAATAATGTAAGTCTTTGCGTGTATTTAATCCGATTGTCGGATATCTATCAAATGTCACTCTATTATTAATGGTGACTTAAATCCCTATTTGTTTACTGTAAACGTCTGTCCCCTACAGTCCACCCGCAAGTCAGCCCTACTGACTGCCGCCAAAAAAGCCAAATTAAAGTCCAATCCATCGCGAGTCCGATTCGCCGAAGGAGTCGTCATCAATGGTTCGCCGCTATTCTGCCCGATGTCTGCGTTTGAGTCGTGCGTCCCATTCATGCCTAATGTCCTCAAAGTATTCCTCGAGAACGGACAGACCAAGACTTTCAAATATGACAGCTCTACCACCGTTCAGGTATGTCATTAGACAGCTGTCAACAGATCTATTAGACAACTATTTAGTAACTTATTTTTTTGTTCACATAATAGGATGTCTTAAACTCATTGCTGGAGAAGCTGTCGATCAAATGTGGCGAACACTTTAGTCTCGTCTGCGAACATATCAAAGCCATGAGAAGGAATCGATTGACTCTTCTCGACCCCAAAGAAACACTGGCGAAGGTCTATATCCCTGTTGTCTTACCATTGATTGGATTATAATGTTATTATTTATTGAATGTATGAACAGATCGCCGCCCGTCCCGGCGCCCATAACCTGCGCTGTCTATTCCGAGTGATGTTCGTACCAAAGGATGCCCTCATTTTACTGGAAATGGATTCAATAAGTTTTGAGTACCTGTACAGCCAGTGCTGCAATGATGTGGTTCAGGAGCGCTTCTCACCGGAACTCAAGTATGAAATCGCGTTAAGGCTGTCGGCGCTCCAGTTGCTGCAGCACTCGATCGACAGTAATTGTATGCAAAGCAACGGAAAAGTGAATTTAAAACTCATCGAAAGGGAGTGCGGTTTAGAGTCGTTCGTTCCCTTCACTCTATTAGAGTCTATGAAACGTAAAGAATTGCATAAATTATTGAACCATTTCCTCAAACTTAACCAACAGTTGTGTCCGACCGGTCAGAAGCACTTGAGCGCCATTCAGGCGAAACTCCATTACCTGAAGATAATGTCAGAGTTGCCATCGTATGGCGCGAAGATCTTCTCGCTCAACATCAGAGACATGACCACAGAGTCCGGTCTTTTAGTGAGCCCTAAGTTTGGGATCAGTCATGTGAATAGCTTTATGAGGAACTCGTTGCCCACGACTGTCGCCAAGATTGAAGACATTAATTACATAAAAGTGTCCAAAAGTGATGAACTCTTCTATAGTATTGAAGTGCAACTCAAGCCGTACAACAGTGATGGCATCTGTTCGTCACCGCAGTCTCCGCTGCGCTTTGATCTCGAAGACAGAGACGCGGAAGAGTTTGTGCTTATCATCAGAGGTTATCATAGATTATTCAATAAGTATGACAACAACTGCAATGATAAAGAGTTGCCAGTGTTTTGGGACATACCCGAGGAGTGGTGGAACGATTCCGGTCAGTCCATTGTCATTGAAATTGTTTGATACCTTTTTTAGGCTATTTATGGCTTCAATTCATATAGACTTTACATTTAATACAAAATCAATTTCCAATGCTTTTTGTGTTAGTGTTTAACGATTGTTAGACTCGTTTTCAAATACAATAAAATCCTATTAATGTTGACTTTAATATTGATTTAATGTTTTTACGTGTCTTTTTCGCTGTGAGGCTATAATCCGAGCGTTTTTCTAATGAATTAGTTATTCTTATCTCTCATGTCTTTCTCTCTTTCTTAACGCTAACCCACTGTGCAGTCAAACGCAATCTTATATATGGCTTTGGTATGACTTTCCATTAATTTAAGCTTCAAAATAGCTTTTATTATAGTCTTTTCAATTAATATTTGATAACTTATTTGCTATTTTACTCTCAGCTCCGAGTTATTGTGGTTTACATACCGTACGAGAGACCCAATGGAGTTACGGCCCCAACGACTCGGTCAGAGAAATCGACTTATCTATACCACCGCCGCGTTATATGCCTTCAGATTTGAAAGAGATTCGTGAAAATAATCAACACTTTATTGAGTCCACTGTGGATACAAGCTATGCATCAGTCGATCACAATATGAACGAAAAAGTCACGTCCAATGGCATCGACTTACCATCGCTGGTGTCGATGGAAATACTCGAGTCTCAAGCCTCGGAGCCGGGCGTCAAAAATGAGGATATCATGAAAAGGGTGTCCGAAATGAACCAAATAGTGGCCGACGCCCAGCACTACTTGGCCACCGATGAGATGCTCAATGAGACCAAAGAAGTCAACGATCGGCAGACAGAGACAGCCGTTGCGGTCGAGAAGACAGAGCAGAACCCGTGGGACCAATCACTTCGACTCCAACCGACCGACTCTCTGCTACTGTTGACGACGCAAATGAATGGTAACACAGATATCAACGGTTCTAATGACAAACAAAACGGTATTTTCATTATTTAATTGATTTTTTAATGAAAAACATTTTTGAGTGAATA